TAGAGTGAAGACACTCTCATCCTGAATCATCGAACCAATGACTTTTGAGAGATTAACAAGCCTGAAAAAGTCACCTGGTTTCCAGCATAGACTACAAGAAGAAAGTAGACTTGATAAACTTGCTGCCTTGTTGGTTGAAAATCAACCAGACAGCTATTCAACTTAATTCATGTATGAAAACATAAACTAACTGTAAAGCACTGTGTTATGACTTGCTTAGTAAACCATTTTTTATGAATGAATTATTCTATTTCCTGTTTTAAAAAAATCAGTAAAAACTATACCAATTTAAACAAAGTAAAGTAAATTAGTAATTTAGTTCATCATTTGAAACACTATTGTTACAAATTGATTAAATTCTTTTATTTCCTTGTGAGTAATTAAATTTTATTTTAACCTTTTAGAAAAAAAAAAACAACAAATGGAGCAAGGTAAGCAAATTCTAATAATAGTAGTAATAATATTTTCTTTCATTTCTTTTGTGTTCCCAAGTAAGTATGGACTGTCTTTCTCCCTGTCTGTCTGCCCACTTGTCTCCCTATCTAAACAATAATAACTATTCACTAGCAAAAAACATTCACAAAAACAAGCAATTTTTATTCAAATGAATTGTCACAAATTATTGGTTCCCTTTTGTCCTTTTCACATATTCTACCACCCCAATTGTACCAGAAGAAATAATATGCCATATACATGGTCTATCACAAGTAAAGAATGCCAGCAACTCTGAAAAAAAGTACTTCAACTGCACACTGCAATGTAAAGAGGTATTCACTGTGCTGTTTGTTTCTCACAACAGAAACACCGGTTCAAATTTTAAATTTTACACCCTCTGCAAGTGATGACATAATATTGAATCACCAAAGCAAGATAATTCCAAATGAACAATCTGCAGGATTCAACTACTCTGAGGATCTGATACCCAGTAGGGTGGTAAGCAGCAATTCTGCACTGAATAATGTTGCATCTGAGCAACTCATCAGCATCAAAGCACAGGTGGTGAACATTGCAGCAACAAAAGCAGTCAATACACAATATCAAGGAACATTAAAAAAGCAAGAAGTTTTAATAAGAATAATAATACATTTTTAAAAACCTTGCGGTTTAACCAAAAAATAAAAATGAAAGATACTTGAATACCGCCAAAGATGTGTGTCATTTCAGGCCAACGAAACTTCACTATTTACTCAGCCATTAATAGATGTAAATGCAGAGTTGGTAAGCATGGTAGCATCAACAATTAATGGGAAGATTATAGGATTCCTTCAAATAAACAACTCAATTGGCTGCATATCATGCAGGAAAAAAGTTTTTCCAAACAAAGACAACCAGCTCATTCCATCTTAGTTATGTAGCATAACTATACTTGACATTATTAATTTTTTAAGCCATGAAATGTAATAATAGTTGTATTTTCCCAATACAATGTTAACCATAACTTTGTTACTGTTTCATTAAAAAATTTTGCTTTAACCTACAATCAGTTATTACCCAAGTATATTAAACTTCTGTATAATTATGTAAATTACTATGCTAAAACCCAGACTATTTTGAGCCATTTTCACTTATCATATTTAAGTTGTAGTAACAATTACAGTTACAGTTTAAGATACCAATTATACCGTTGCCGTTTTACAGTTATAGTTTAAGATACAAATATACCGTTGCTGTTTCGTGGCAAATTTCCCTTAACATTCAATTAATTACAACACTAATCTATTATGCTATTTTTGTAATTTAACAAAATGTCACTTTACAATTTTAGGAATAAATTGTGTTACAAATGATTTCCCCTTTCCTTCTATATTTTCTTGCATGTTTCTTTTCACTATAAAAAAGTTGAAAGACCCTTTCACACCCAATCCACAACACCGTCCTTGTCCAATCGAACGCACCCTATAATCTCTGATAACTACTAGTTTAGTAAACGAAAAAAATGCGCTTTCCTTGAATGAAACGTTCTTTATTTGGATTTACGCGTGAGAGCATTGTGGCAGCTATACGGCAAATTAGGGCTAATTTGTCGAAATAAACACAAAACTAACACTCACCTTAGCTGTAGACCCCACATCTACACAAAAACAACATCTTCTGAAAACATTTGCGCTAGATATCCATCTTCGCCTCCTCAAAAGCGCACACGCTCTCTGTTCTAAACTTCGAATACGCCACGCGGTAACGGCCGCCATTTTTTAAAGTCCTGAAAGTCTGCTGGGGGTCTCGAACCAAGATAAAACCCAGGCCCCTAATATATCATTCTTTTTTTGTCAAATAGCGATTCCCCAATTTGAACTGGCGATGATTGATTCGATTCCACTCACTTTCTCCTATGTTTGAGAGAAATTTATAATTTAGTAAAACATAACCAAATGGCGGAAAATCGTAAAACCTAGTGCCGGCAGTCTAACTTTTGTAAAGAAAGAAAAGATTAAGTGCGTGCATCTCAACAGGATATTTTCAACGCGAATTTGCGCTAGAAACTTTATTCAAAATTGGCCGGCGACGCGCCTATCTAAGTTTTTAAAGAAAGTATCGCCAGACTTCTTGATCTACTGTCAGAATGATGAAGTGGTTTCTTCCCCTATAAAAGCCACTTTTACAGACAAAGAGGGTACGTGAAGACTGCTGTGGAGGCCTAACTCAGGATATGTTCTGGATCCACATTTTGGGAGCTTTCCTTTGATAGGCACTTTAATGGGGAAGAAATGAAGTTGTCTTTTACCCCCCATCAAATCTGCATGGGACTAGAAGTGTCTTTGAGGTAATTTGCAGAATCTTTCCACACGGTTTCATCACCACAAGTGCCATCACGGTACGCTTTTGCCAGTCGAGCGTTATGGGCGTATTCCTAGGCTCCAAGAGTGTTCCTGGACGCGTCCTTTGGCTAAAAACTGAAAAGGAGAGCATCACAGATAGGGGGATATCTTGTTTTAGCACGATTTGAAATGAGGATTGCCCCTGTTTGGGGGAAGGCTTAAAAAAATATACCGATTAAGCAAGCTTAGCCGATTCATTTTTGTTCTGAGACCCCTGTGTATCTTACAATGGATAGTAGATGGGGTCTCTAAGAATCATGTGGATGAACTTTGGTCTCAGTTAAATTCATGAGCCGAGTGTTTTACAGAGCCTCGGTACTGTAAAGTGCACTGTAAGTTTTTTAAGCTAGCCAGAAAAGGAACAAGGGATAAATACCGCATGCTCGTTCATATTTTGATAAATTTAGTTTTATTAGTGTTCTATCATGGAACATAATATCAACAAGTGGCTCCACAGTTCTTGGTGGAAGCACGGTAAAAACAGTTCTTTTATGTATAAGTTTACTACACTGAAACACTGAAATGCAAGCTTTGGTCAAGTTAGGGGGAAACCAGACTTTTAATTAAACGTTATGAAGCAGCTAAGGATTTTTTTACGGTTTAGTCGTTGCTAAAGTAATCCACTTGACCTTAATTATCTAACTCACGGAAAAAAACAAGGGAAAGGAAGTATGCTCCAGAATATTATTCTTGAAATTTACATCCGGCTCGTTAATTAAAATTGCGAAAAGATAGATATATTTCGCATTTTTAGCAATTACTGTTTTATGTTTCGGCTTAAACGTCGTTTTTAGGTGTTGTTCTGAAATGTGCTACTCCTTCTAGAAGACCGTGGCACGCAAGATTGTTTCTCCATCTTTAGAGCAACATTGTAAGGGTTTACTTACATAATGCACATGTTGTTAGTATGCACATGTAGTGGTATATGATGCGCATGTTAACTACACCTCTTTTTCAAGCCATGAGACAGAATGCTTACGAAAAGTAGGGAGAAAGTGTTTCTTTCTACCAGGGAGAGTACTATTTCGTTTTGTTTTGTGACAACTTCCATGATTGGCCATAAAGTTTCTTATTTTTATTTGTTACGGCTTGGTTATTTATTAGATGTTTTCAATATGATAGACAAGATCTATATATAATCTCAGTGCCTCTTCTGCGTCATCTGGCATCGTCAGATTCTCTTCATCCATGATGAGGTGAGCCAACTCCACGAACCCTCTAGAGGCCGGCTGTTCATTGAGTTGATCACAGCATACCTCTTTAGCTAAATCGATTTCATCGCTTGGCACTGGAGTAGAGTAATCCATGGCTTCTTTTAGTTCAGGAACTTCGGGGCGACCTGCTGGGGAGTCGGAATTTCTACATGGCCTAATCCTATGAAGCTTCCATTGTTCTGTCACGTGTTTGAGCTCGTCTTGGATTAAGTGCATGAAATAGAATTTCAGGCATTCTACATGAATTGGATTACTGTCGCAATAAATGCCCGCGTCCCGAATATCCTTGGAGAATTTGATTTACCAATCAGACTCAGTTTTACGAAGAAAAGACGACCAAGCTTCAATCCTTTGATTGGAAACTGAACGTCCATACATAAAGCTCGTATCGCCCGAGAAGGAATCAATGCCATTCCTTCTGAGAAAGCATTCAATTATAGCAACTTTGCAGTTCTCTGTACCTTCATCGGCGTGGACAATCCTCGGAACACCACTCACTTGTTTTATACAGTCACAATAGTACTCCGCTATGACGCTGGGATCATTGTTGGTGACACTGGCTTCAAGCCACAAAATGCGGCGACTGTATTCATCTATCGCACCATGAATACAAAAACCGAAGGGTTTTAGCTTATCACAACCATCTATATGCCAGATCTAATTTGGTCCTTTGGCATAGTATATACTTCCTACGTTTCAGACGCCTTCTGGATCTTCTTTCAACACCCTCTGGATCTGCGGTTTTAAGAATAAGGCGCACAATTTCCTTGTCAACAACAAGGCCATAATCATTTCTGAGTCTGTGGTACATTAATCTATAGCTAATGGAACTCCCACTTCCACAAAGTTCCCTTTTAACTGCACTTACAATCTCATGTGGGTTGCTGTAATTTCGTCTTCGAAATAGACCTTGATTTCTCAGTATTCTTTTTAACCGAAGAAGGCTCAAACGTATTCCATGGCTCAAAGT